CTTCGGAGCATCGAAACATGAAATACCGGATGAACCTGCCTGTCCAATATGGCTACTGGCTCCTCAACATAAGATAGATCCTTGTCCAACTGGACTGAGCTGAAATCCATTACGTGACACGGGTCACCATGATACCCTCGGAGCATCGAAACATGAAATACCGGATGAACTCCTACCAAGCTGGGAGGTAAGGCAAGCTCATAAGCAACCTCCCCAACATGCCACAACACCTCAAAGGGACCAATAAACCTTGGGCTGAAGTTGCCTCTCTTTTCGAATCTTATAACGCCCTTCATGGGCGAAACCCAAGCAAGACCCGATCTCCAACCATAAATGAAACATCGTGAACCTGCAGGTTCGCATAACTCTTCTGTATGGACTGGGCTGGCGAAGTCTATCTTGAATCACCTTAACCTTCCCCAAGGCGTGCTAAACAAAATTTATGCCCAATAACCTAGCCTCGCCTAGGTCAAACCAACCCACTGGGGACCAACACCGCCTACTATACAGAGCCTCATACAATGCCATCTGAATATTGGAGTGATAACTGTTGTTGTAGCCAAACTCCGCAAGTGGAAAGAACTGATCCCAATAACCTCAAAACTCCATCACACACACACAGAGCATATCCTCAAGAATCTAAATAGTACGTTCGGACTGTCCGTCCATCTGGGTGAAATGTTGTGCTCAACTCCACCCGAGTACCCAACTCATGCTGTATGACTCTCTAGAACCGTGATGTAAACTGTGTGCCCCGGTCAGAGATGATAGATACCGGTATGCCATGGAGTTTGACAATCTCATAGATATAAACTCAAGCCAGCTACTCGAAAGAATAGGTAGTGATCACAGAAAGGAAATGAGGCAACTTGGTCAGCCTATCTATAATCACTCAAACTGCATCAAACTCCCACTGAGTCTGTGGGAGTCCAACAATGAAATCCATAGTGATCCACTCCCATTTCCACTCTGGAATCTCTAACTTCTGAAGTAATCCACCCGGTCGTTGATGCTCATACTTAACCTGCTGGCAATTTAGACACCGAGCAACATATTCCACTATGTCCTTCTTCATCCTCCTCCACTAATAATGTAGTCTCAAGTCCTAATACATCTTCGCGGCACCCGGATGAATAGAGTACCCCAAGCTATGAGCCTTTTGAAGAATCAACTCACGCAAACCATCCATATTAGGCACACATAGCCTGTCTGCCTACATCCTTAATGCACCATCGTCCCCAATAGTAACCTCCTTAGAATCACCGTGCTGAAACTTGTCCTTAAAGACAAGCAGATATGGGTCATCATACTGACGCTCCCTGATATGATCATAAAGAGAAGACTGGGAGACCAGACAATCCAATACTCGACTCAGCTCAGAAATATCCAATCTCACAAACTGGCGAGATAAGGCCTGAACATCCATCACTATGGGCCTCTCTACTACTGCTAGATATGCTAAACTCCCCAAACTCTCTACCCGACGATTCAAGGCATCGGCCACCATATTGGCCTTCCCTGAGTGGTACAAAATAGTGATATCCTAGTCCTTAAGCAGCTTTAACCACCTCCTCTGACGTAAATTAAGATCCTTCTGCTTGAACAGATGCTGCAAACTCCGATGATCAGTATAGATCTCACAAGGGACACCATACAAATAGTGCCTCCAAATCTTTAAGACATGAACAATAGCTGCTAGCTCAAGGTCATGGACATGATACTTCTTTTCATACACCTTCAGGTGTCTGTACGCGTAGGCAATCACCCTACGGTCCTGCATCAACACCACGGCGAGGCCAACTCGTGATGCATCACAATAGACTATATAAGACCCCGAACCTGTAGGCACTATCAATATTGGGGTTGTAGTCAAAACTGTCTTGAGCTTTTGAAAGCTCTCCTCATACTCCTCCGTCCACCTAAACGGAGCACCCTTCTGGGTTATCCTGGTCATATATGTTGTAATAGATGAGAATTCCTTAACAAATCGACGGTAATAACCTGCCAAACCAAGAAAACTCCGGATCTCTATAGCTGAGGACGGCCTGGACCAACTCTGCACTTCTTCCACCTTCTTCGGATTCACCTTGATCCCTTCACTCGACACTACGTGACCCAAAAGTACCACAAACTCCATCCATAACTCACATTTTGATAACTTTGCATATAATTTATTATCTTTCAAGGTCTAAAGCACTATCCTTGGGTGTTGCTCATGATCTTCCCGACTCTAGGAGTACACCAGAATGTCATCAATAAAGACAATGAAGAACGAGTCAAGATATGACTGGAATACAATGTGCATCAAATTCATAAATGATGCTGGGCGTTGGTCAACCCAAATGATATAACAAGGAACTCGTAATGACCATACCGAGTCCTGAAAGCAGTCTTCGGGATATTTGGCTCCCTAATCTTCAATTGATGATAACCTGAATGCAAATCAATCTTGGAAAACACTCGAGCACCCTGTAGCTAATCAAATAGGTCATTAGTACGAGGCAAAGGATATCGGTTCTTCATTGTAACTTTGTTCAACTGGCAATAATCAATGCATATATGCATAGAACCGTCCTTTTTCTTCACAAACAAGACAAGAGCACCCCAAGGTGACACACTGAGCTGAATAAAGCCCTTATCAAAAAATTATTGTAAATGTTCCTTCAACTCAGGAGGGGCTATATGATCAGGAGGAATAGAGATGGACTGAGTGCCCGACAACAAATCAATGCCAAAATCAATATCTCTGTCGGGCGGTAAGCCTAGAAGTTTAGCTGGAAACACATCAAGGAAATCCCTCACTACTGGGACTGAATCAACTGTAGAGGTATCAATACTAACATCTCTCACATAAGCTAGATACGCGTCACACCCCTTCTCAACCATTTGCTTAGCTTTAAGAAATAAAATAACTCTACTGGGAGTGTAATCTAAAGTACCCCTCCACTCTAATTATGGTAAACCTGGCATAGCCACTATCACGATCTTGGCATGACAATCAAGAATAGCATAATGGGGCGACAACCAGTCCATGCCCAAGATAACATCAAAATCTACCATGCCGAGCAATAATAAATCGGCTCTGGTCTCAAAACCACTAAAAGCAATCAAACACGAACCACAACAAGAGAATCTCCCACAGGAGTAGACAGAGCCTCAGGGATGCATGGCGCGCGGAGTTTGAGCAGTTGCGCCAGGGTACTATGATTGTTTTAGAGTATGGTGTCCGTTTCAATGACTTGGCTAGACATGAATCGGCCTTGGTTTCTATAGTTCGAGAGAGGGTTCGCCGATTTATTGAGGGGCTCATTCCCAGCATCAGGTTTAGCATGGCTTGGGAGTTAGAAATGGATATAGCGCATCAACAGGTGGTGCGTATTGCTAGGAGAGTAGAGGTCATGCTTGCTCGGGATAGAGAGGAGAGAGAGGCCAAGAGGTCTCAAGAGTCGGGCCATTATTCTGGTTTCTGTGCCCCAGCTGGAGTTCATCATGGTAGGGGCTATATGAGTCGCCCCATGCTAAAGCTCTTCCAGCATCCATTGGTATTCCAGCTCCTCCAAGACCTCAAGAGCCTTATTATGCACCTCCAGTATCTAGTGTGCCTCATGCACGGGGTGCTTTCAGTGGTCAACAATAGACTTAGCCCGAGCCAGTCACAGCCTCCATGCCCTCCAGAGCTTGTTTTGAGTGTGGCGATACTTGTCATATGGTGAGGGATTGTCCCTGGTTTAGGAGGGGTGCGCCTCCACAGACTTCTCAGCCACAACGTGCTCCATAGGGTTCCCAAGCTATGATTACAGCACCAGCTGCCACTCCACCTGCTCAGCCAGCTCGAGGTAGAGGTCGGGGAGGTAGAGGTCGCCCTAGAAGGGGGAGTACAGGCCAGATGCTATGCCTTTCCTGCTCGTACAGAGGTTGTTGCTTCCGATTTTGTTATTACAGGTATTGTTTCGGTCTGTCATAGAAATGCATCGATTCTATTCGATCCAGGCTCCACTTATTCCTATACGTCCTCTTATTTTAACCCTCATTTAGGTGTATCTCGAGATTTTTTGAGTTCCCTGTGATTTAGAGAAACTGTTGCATTGGCCAGGCACTGGATATGTACTTATCACATGCAACTAAATGTATTCTCTTCTTACTACATTTGAAATAAGTTGATCCTACCAGGTTAAAAAGCTGAATTTTCTCCAAAGACATATATCCAATAGATGCAGAAAGGTAGATACAGCCAAAAAAAGGAGTGATTAGTAGATATAGTGTATCTACACTTTCCCAGAAAAAAAAAAAATCTACACTTTTGCTAAAAAAACCCTCTCATGATGGTCCCAAAATATAACATGCTTCTAAACTTAACCACATTTTCTAAGAGATTCCATTTCGTAATTAGCTACTTATAATACATTCCATGGAACTTATCTGGAAAAAAACAATCGGAGAAAGATGAAAATTTATAGAAATTTTTTTTATTGCAAATTTAACTTGTAAACCTTAATTTTAAAGACTTTTTTTTAATGGATAATGTAAAGAATCTTTTTACCCTATAAGGCCATAACATAAGAGATAATTATATATATGTTACCGCCTATAATGGGTTTGAATCAATTATATACGTAAAAATTAAAGTGATATGTTAAAATTGGTAAGCATACACTAATATGTCCGTGTATATAAGTTAAATTCTATATAAATAAAAATTCAACTTATATATACTAGTAGCCAGGGGTGGATCCACCTTGCGACTTACGGATTCAGGTGAACCCCGTAGCTTTTGTCTAGAGAGTGTAAATGTGTTCGAAAAATTCACTAAATCTAGAAATATTTGAATGTGAACCCAATTACTATTGAAAATTTATTCGATGTCGTTGCAGGAACCCATAAACATCAAATCCTGGATCCGCCTCTGCTAGTAGTATAAAAAAAAATTACACAATCAAATCATTTTTAGATCACTTTTATCATATAAACTACCTTATTTTCAAGATTACAAATCTCATTTTTTATTGATTATTACCTACAAAATTCTTTTAGGTTGCCTGAAAGTATGAATAATTTCTTTACATTGTCCATGTATACAAGTTAAACCATAAATGAAACGTACGACATATATCTGTATCTAGCTACCTGTAATAACATCCATATCATGAACGTTACTAATTTGAGGACCATAACGAAAAGTTTGGCCACTGATTCCAGCATTAGATAAAGTTCCACCAACAGTGAGGTACAGAAAATCAGTCCACGAGACAGGAGCAAGTCCATGCACAAGTGTGGCATTCAAAACATCAATCCAAAGCTGCTCACCTCCAACATCTGCATAAAACCCTAACGAAGCATCCCAACTAACCCTAATTCCAGTTCTGTAGTTATTCTTTAAAGAATTCATATCCACCACAACCCCGTTTCGCGCCATGGCCTGGCCCCTCACTGAGTGGCCATGCCCTCTCGCCGCGATGGTAAAAGGGATATGCGTATTATAGGATAACTTGATGAGATCGAGTATATCGTTAATGGTGGATGGATAAAGAACTGCAGCTGGTGTTTCTTTAACAATATTTCCAAAATCAGTGGAAGCTGCCTCTATGGCATCTGAGTCTGTACTAAGCCTAGCTGCAATATCAAGGGAAAGAAGTTCATGAGGAATACTTGAAGCGTTCCAATAAGTCTTCAACTTCCCTATTATGGACATTAAATGACTCATGATGAACAAAAAAATGAAGTAGCCTGGGGCAAAAAACTTAGCCATTTTACATGCATGTGGTAAAATTAAAGAGACACATATAATATAATGTAGAAATAGGAGAAAGAGTGTTGATATTATGAAGGTGATTTTGGTGAAGCAAAGAGAGATATGGTATGAGGATATATATAAGAGGAAAAACTGAATGAAAACGAGGAACACATCTTTGATAAAGTACATGGAGAAGAAAAGTGTTTTTTTTCAAGATACGAAAATGATACACTTTTCTGATGCTTTTTGCCTTTATTTTTCGAATGTCTTGTCTTTCTCATGGAACGGCGATTATAATTAGATACACTCAAAGATTCGCATAGCCAGCCGTTAGTTTTCTTCTTTCTTGTGGGCTTTATGTATATATTATTTGTGTTATTACACAAGACCAAACCACATTATATTTGGCCTTAGCTATCTACTTTGATATAATGGTCTTTGGTTATATTTTTGTTTGTTTTCTATTTAAGGAATGGATGATGGCCATAATTAGGTACAGACGAAAAATATTTTGAAAAAATGTCCTTTCTAGATTTGATGTGATTCTCCTGTATCTTTGATCAGTTAATAGGAGAATAATGTGAAAACAGCATTTGATACGATTCTCCTTCATATCTATGAGTTAATTATCACTACGAGAAGGTGAATATACCGGAAAGTCAGAAGAAAAACTTAGATTTTCTTCATCATTAAAAGATCTTGTTTGTAGGTATTTGAGGTAACATCATAATATGAAAAGTCAAGTTCCATGCATGAATAATTACAAGCCTTGTCTTGTCCTCTTCAGTATATTTAATCACTTTCAACCGTCAATATATATCCTGCTTTCTTAGTTTCATTTTATTTGTGCAAGTTGTAGATTTTCACACTATTTGGGAACAAATTCATGGTATGGGCTCTCTAACAAAGAGTGACATCAATTGTAGTCTTGTGCAAGAGTAGCAAACAAACTAACGGAACGATATGAAGATTGACATTTCAAAGGATCTATATTTGTAACATTAACGCAATTGTTTTTGTAATTTTCCTACTTGCTATATACGGTCCATATGATACGTTGTGATTTAACATGATAGTGGGCGATAGTTGATACACTTGTAGTTTTGTTAAAAAAGAAAAATTAAAGTTAAAATTCAAGTAATAAGATATTGAGTTCTTGACAATAAGGTCATCTTTACCAAAGTGGACTCTATTTGACTGCGGCTGAACATGAATATAAGAATATAAAGAATTGTAGTGCTGCTTCACAGATGCCATTGAGGCTTTAGTCCTATTTCAAATTGTTTAGATTATGGGTGTGTTTGGTCCGAAGGAAAATATTTTCTTGGAAAATAAGTACTAATCTTATTCATTTTCCGGTGTTTGGTTCGCAAATTAAGAAAATAACTTTTCAAAGTATTCATAAATAATTTAGATATAATAAACACGAAGTCATAAACTCTCAAACCAACAACCTTCCAAACCCACAAATTTCACAAATTTGAGAAGGAGTTTTGGTAAATGTTTTCCCTCTGCTTGCTAAGGAAAATACTTTCCTCCAATTGGAGGAAAATGAATTCATAAGGAAAATGTTTTCCAAAATATTTAAGCCAACCAAACATGAAAAAATTGGAAAACATTTTCCAAAAAATATTTTCCTTCGTACCAAACACACCCTATAAGTTGAATATTAACAATTTGACCTAAATTAGGAACTTTACCAAGCATCTAGCCCCCACCCAATAGGCAATAGCTAAAGTCCATAATATATTTAAATGTGTAACTTCACAAACATCTAAGCAAGTGCGTGTGTCTATACACACACTGTTTTTCTTCTTCTTCGTCTAGAATATGTCCAAGCTCATGACTTCTAGATTTGTCGATTTGTCTGGCCATGCATCTATCCTGATCCTTACTGAGAGGGAGAAGGTATGGAGATTCATAAAGGGTCTTACATATGGCATCAGACTTCAGATGGCCAGAGAGGACAAGATCGAGTTTTCTTTTGCTCAGGTAGTGGAGATCGCTAAGAGGATTGAGAGCATCAGAGGCCAGACGAGAGAGACGACCTTTGAGAAGAGGTCCCATCATTTTGGAGGATTCAATGGTGCCTCATTTGGATGCATGTGTTCCTTTGGTAGAGGCCATCCTATCGGTATAGTTAGCCCTACATGTCACACATGGTACTTCAGGCAGCCATAATGCTTATGGAACTCGTTCCGATAAGATAGCATACAGTGAACCTCCAGCTCCTATTAGTGCGCCTGCGCTATAGAGTTACCAGGGTGATTATTTAGGTCATCACGGATAGCTCCAGGTTCAGTAGCCACATCAGCAAAGGGTTTGCTATGTATGTAGGGATCTAAGGCACATCGCAAAGTTTTGCCCTAGGTCATACTCATGCCATAATTCTTGTACCGGCTACTCCACCACCCACTCAGCCAACTAAAAGCGGGGGTCAGGTAGCCCAAGGTGAAGGCCAGTTAGTTAGAGGTGGAGGCAGTTAGTGAGAGGTCGTCCTAGAGGTGGAGGACAGGTTGATGGGGCTCAGCCCTTTTGTTATGCATTTTCGAGTAGACCCAAGGTGGAGTCATCCGATTTAGTTATTACATGTATTATCTCAGTATGCTTCCGTGCTGTTTGATACGGGTTCTACATATTCTTATGTATCTTCATATTTTCCTTTGTACTTGAGTATTGATAACTATGGATTCTAGCCTATCTTATGCTCTCTTTTGCTTAGGTTTTGGATAAAAAATGTGTAAAAATATTCCTAAAAACTGACTTATTATGCTTGTTTGCAGGATTTGGTCAAAATGAGGTAAGAAAGACATAACCAACTCATAAAGAATTTAAAATTACAAAAGTTCAAAGCTGAGATAAAAGCGCTGACCGCGAAGGAAAAGAGCGGCCGCGGAAGGTCCACAGCTGAAGCGGCCACAATTACGCTGTCAGCGGAATTAAGATTCAGAGAAGGCATTTTTGGGGTACTACAGAGACCGATGACCGCGGTGAAATAGCGCGGCAGCGGAATACCTGACGCGGCCACGGTGCAAATTCTGCTGAGGCGAAATAGAGATTTAGAGGTCTTACAATATGAGCTCAATTGAGGAACGCGGCCCGCAAACATTTTACACGGCCGCGATTGAAGCCAACGTTGACGCGGTAGAATTTACGCTATCCGCGAATAATAGCCCAATCCCAGTCAAAAATTTAAGAAACGCGGTCCGCGCTTGTTTTTGCGCGGCCGCGAAAGTTCATGCGCTGAGGCGCCCAGTATTCCACTGATAGAGAAACCTCCGTAGGGGCATTTTTGTCTAGTAATTTTAGCTGTGTATAAATAGATCTTTTTCACATTTTTAGGTCATCTTTTGTATCAGTGGGCTCGTGAAAAAGCATACTTTACCACTTAGAGTAATTTTAGAGCAGCTTTAGCTTATATTCTTAGATTTTATTCCTATAATCAACTTTTATGGCTTATATTTCATCTCCATCTTTGATTTTTACCTTTATTATAAGTAGCTAAGCCCATTAGCTGGGGTTATGACCCAACCCTAGTGTGGGTAGTTAATGGGTCTTCAATTTTAGGGCTTATTTGTTTATGGGTTAGTGATATTTAACTTGATTCATACTTTAATTATAGAATTGGTGGTTGCAAATACTGATTCATGCCTTTATGACTTAGATTCTTCTTGAGTAAGTGGGACTATGTCTAGGAAAATTAGGCTAACAAGGAATTGGGGTGCATTCTAGAGATTGATAGCCCCAATTAAAGGGTTAAGCCTACAGATAGTAGTACCCGACTTGAGCCAATTTTACTTGCATTGTTTGAACACCCAATTAGGCTTAAGAAAGCCAATTAGGGCAAAGTCACTCAAACTACCGAGAGGTATAAAGTGAGTAATTATGTGTAAAGGTTATATCACGACCCCAAATATAACAAGCTTGTCTTAAATTTTAGATCCCACTAGATACTCACCTAGGTGTAAGTCACTTCCCTAGTGCTTTTTATCAATTGAGAAAACCCTTACAAAAATATTGTACTTAGATTATTTTCAGCAATCATTAGCATTAAAATTAGAATAGAAATAAATCCAAACATGGTTAGATGTGCAACTAAAAGCAACACGCGTATCTAGATTAGATAGAAACCCAACTCCCAACCAATATTAACTCCATGTGGAAATCGATCCCGACCCTTCAGGTAAAAGCTGCATCGACCACTCCTTGCCATTATATAGTGGTGTAGGATTGGATCCGATCACTTTTTGATGCCGTTGCCGGGGAGTTAAATGGTTTTGGTTATCTATCTGACTAGTTGTGTGTCTTGTTTTTCTTTTCTTTTGTTTTACTAACTTGTGTGAGTTAATCGATTCAGGTACAAAATGTCAAATAATGATCCTATCGGAAATATTCTCCCGGGGGGAGGAGGTAGATGATAATGTTGAAGATGAGTTACCTCTAGTACCTCAAGCTCAAAGAAGAGGCCGCCATGCCAATGAAAATATTCCAGACCCTCCCCCAGCTCCTCCGCTAGTAGCTCCTCGGGTGCTTCCAATTAAAGGTTACGCAAGTGCAATTATCCCACCTCGGATCCGGGCGGGCAATTTCCAGATTACAAATGTCTTGTTGACTTTATTGGAGCAAAGAGGGTACTTCACAGGCGCTCCCTATCAGAATTCATATAAACATCTAAAGGTCTTTGTGGATACCTGCTGGGGAAGCAAACAAACAAATGTGTCGGAGGATGCAATGAGACTGAGATTGTTCCCCTTTTAACTTAGAGGGAAAGCTTTGGACTGGCTAGAAAGACTCCCCAACCATTCCATCACTACGTGGGATGAGTTGGCCGACAAGTTTATAGCCAAGTTTTTCTCACCGGGACATATGGCTGCATTAATGGATAAGATCTTATCTTTGAAACAGGAACCAAATGAACTCCTCCCCCCTATGAAATTTGAGATAGATATAGAACTATGGTCAAGGAATGCCCTAACAATGATATGACTCAAGCAATGATCAGATATTTTATCGGGGTATAAACACGACCAGTCAATGTGTGGTAAACCAGCTAGCTGGGGGTAATTTTATGAAACTACCTTATGCTGAGGCTTGTGACA